GGGGGCACCGGCTCGCGATCGCGGCCATCCCCCTGCCGGGGCTGGCGAGGTGCTGTTATTCCCCCAGGCGGTTGGCTCGCCCGCCACCGGCTCCTGCAGGCCGTGGACCAGGTTCAGATGTGAGTAGCTTGCTGCCCTCGATCCTCGGGGCCCTGGAAGGTCCTGATTGGTGTGGAAGCCGGAGCTCCGCGGCCCAGTTTTGAGCGCCGCGGATCCACCCCCAGCATAAGAAAATTATTTTCATTCAAATTTAGGATGGCTTTTCGAAGACGTAATTATGCAAAATAAGACTAGGAAGATCGCCCTCGCTTTCAGAAAGTACTGGAACGCTGGATACTTGGAGAGGCTCTGGGATTACTGAACAAGCGGCCACACTTATTTTTAATGCATATCTGAGACTTCAAAAAATTAAAAATTGAAACCGAGTCTCCTGCTTCGATGCTAAAGCTATTTTGCCCAGCAGTAGATTAGGATCAGGTTAGGTTGTTACTGAATCGCGGCTTACTAATTTACAGTATTTTGCTAATACAAGGTCAATTTTGAAATCTATTTTGGGATCATTTGCCAGTTATTTAGAGTATGCGTCGATCTGACGTTGATTGTTTTCACCGGCTTAAGACCGAGAAGTGTGGCAGGTGACTGGGTTAGCACAGCCAGCCACCAGGCGGAGGAGGAGACAGGTGGTGTTAGCCCTTGTTGGGCTGCCCTGCCCACTGAGCACGTTCACACCACCGCTGGAGTGGCCACCTGCGGGCCAGACCCAACCGGAATTGAAAAGAACAAAGCTACGTGAGTGTCGGGCGCTGTGGGTGGCTTCTTCTTCCCAGTTAAATGTGTTCTTGGTTGTGTTTTATCGGACCCAAGGATCCTCTTGTTGAAGTGGTTGCCGGCATAGCTGTGGGACGCTAGAAATGAAATGGTTGGTTCCACTTTTCGTATTTGGCACAGTTGAGATTCAACTGAGAAGTCCTATACTTAGAGACTCTGGGAATGGGAGCCTTTAAAAGCCCCTGAACGCGCCAAGTGCAGTTAAGAAGTGGATAACAGGGTGCCTGGGGCTTTGTTTCTTTTATGGCTGTATGCTTGCTCTCATCACTTGGCATTGTGAATTTTGGTTTATTGATTGGGCTATATCCTGCACTGGGCACAGAATCTCTGCTGTCAAGACTCCAGTAGCTGTTCATTACCAAGTACAGAGGCTGGCTTTTAGAAGACCTTTGGTGGGGCTGGTTGAACATAGGGAGCAGCAAGCAGTTTGTCCTCGTAGGTCACTGGAAGCCAGTGGATCTTCCTTAAATGATGAGTTCATCACATTTTTCTTGGATGGCATGCCACAGATGGATAATAGTGGTGCTGCCACAGGTCAGAGGTGGTCCAAGGTTAAGTTAGGCCAATGAACATTACCGTGGACATTTTGTAGTGTTTAAATATTAATATTCAACTTAAATATAGCACGGGTCACTGTGTGAACAGTTATTCTCTTCAGTATTGAATGCAGAATATACGTCAGATCTGGAACATTGAGCTGGAATCATTCTTGCCAGGAGGTAGACTGGGCTGCCTAGCAGTCTGTCGACAAATTTTTAAATCTAAGTCTTTGTGTCTTTTAATTTAAATCCTTGGTACTTTCCCCAGAGACTGTCATTTTTTGTGTCTTTGGGCGTAGGGGCTGTAGGACCTGTACCTGCTCTTTTCAGTCGGTAGGCGATGCTGTAGGAGTATATGTGGGACTTTGCTTTAGCTGTCTCTGCTTCCCTTCCTTGCTAAATTAATTATACTTTTGACTTAGATGCAGGATCTTTGGACCGATAGCTTGCCTTCATGGTGAAATAGTTCTTAGTTTTGTAGTCAGGGCTGCAGTTGCCTGAATTCTATAAAAATTATGTCTTAGTAAACATCAGAAGAGCTTGAAGGTACAGTGTGGAGTGACTGCTCACTGGTGATACCTTGAGGATAATAGTTTTTTGGGGACAGTCTTATATAGGTAGGTAGCTCAGGCCTTGAACTACCTTGTATGCCACCATGGTTAATTTAGGAGGTTTTGGGACTTGAACCCAGGGCTTTGTGCACAAGGCAAGTTCTCTACCAACTGAGCTACATCACACGTCTCTTGTAAGTATTTGAATAAATTTTCTTACTCGCCTTGCTGATAGTTAATGGGATCTACCTCCCCTGTCATTGCCATAGTTGAATGTGTGCCTGTAAACAGAGAAAGGAGTCAGGTGTCCTCTTCTGTTACCTTATGCCATATTCTTTTGGGTCAGGGTTTCTCCTGGAGGTCATGTTTTCAGTTACAATGATAAGCCCCAAGTTTGTCTCCACTCCCCCGTCTGTCCCCCCTCCCCCCGTGCTAGACTGATAGGTGTGTGAGAGACCAGTGGTGCTGTTATCTGAACCCCAATCTTCATGGTTGTACAGCAAGCTTTTTTAGCTACGAGCCATCTCTCCAGCCCCAACAGTATACTTTAATAACTACGCACTTTCCACATTTATATGAGGGAAAATCGCTCACTCTTGGGGACCACATGAAATCAGTACCCAAGTGCTGGTAACAACCTGGGTACGGTGGTGGGCTGGCCAGAATACTGCCCTGCCATTCTCGTCTGCTTTCCTCTCCTCGCCCCTGTTGTTCATTTATGGCACGAAGCTTGAGTTGATGTTCTCCTCACAGAATGGAAGGAGATAAGAGGATGGGAGAAAGAAAAAAAAGAAGAAGAAAGCCTGTGGAGATTGCCACAGTTGTAATTCCTGCACTCTGTGATCCTGAGGCTCGGGTAGCCTGGGATACACAGTGAGACCTTATCTCAAAACAAACCAACCAAGAACGTGTTAGGCGATGAACTGTGTTACCCTGTAACCTTGTGATGTGACTCAGGGCAACATGAACACGTTTTAATTTGATCATTGATTACAGCTGAGTCTTGTTTTAGACAACCATTTACATTGGCTTATTTGTGTACCTGTACTTCTGGAGCCAGTGTTAATCCACCGTGTGGGGTCCTAGGGACCAAACTCGGGGTGTGGAGTTTGCTGGCAAGTACCTTGCTGAGCCATCTCATAGGCCTAGAGACCTTTGCCTTGAAAGCCTTTGGATATTAACTTTCAGCGATTTTTTTTTAAACGTGTGAACTTAGATGTTAATGATGTCACTAAGAAATGAGAGAAAGTAGAATTCTAGTTTGTATAGCCTGTCAACACAGTTCTGTTGTCAGCTCCTCCGACCTCCATTTTACCTCTGCACAAAGCCAAGGTAGTATTTGATTGCTAATTCCTTTAGAATTTGGGTCACCGCTGAGAAAGGTGGTGTGGTGGGGGATAACAGCTCTGAGAACATGAGCTTTTAAAAATTGTTTGCAGGATGGCACTTTTTCTTACTCTTGGAGCTTAGAATTGTGTAGTTTGGTACGTACCTGTCATGACACACACTTTGACTGTGAGCTGTCTGGTGTAGGTTTTGTCTCTTGGCTGGGTAGACACTGGCTTTCAGAAGAACAGACCTGGTGGGCATTGGCAGCCAGTGGGTCCTGTTCTCACCCAGCATTATCCAATTTCTCCAAAACCTTCACTTCTCTAGCAGATTTTATTAGCTATAACTGAAGACTAAATTAAATACCACTGACTGTCTCATTTTATGTCACTTGCATCTTACACCAAATTTCCTTAGCCTCATGTATTGCTTGGTAATATGTGTATTGTCTTGTTTTCATTTGTATCAACCAGAAGTGTAGATAAAGTGTTAAGTGGTGGTTTACAAATTCTTAGTTGTTTTCAGCTCCTATCTTTCCTGTTCTAGAATATGCAGTGATTCTTAGTTTTCATCTTAGTTCTCTGAGTTTTCGATTTTTTTCCTCTCCAGATACCAGTGTCCCACCTCCTTGTATTTTGATTAGCTTCTACTTCAAACATTAGCCCCCTTCGCACAGGGTGACATCTGTTACTCTGCGCAATGTGCTGCTTTGGGATTTCTCTGGAATCAGCTGTGGATATTTTGTAGTTGTTAGGGTGAATAATTTGGTCATCTTAACCTTTCTAACAGTCTGGGTAGTCAAAGCCCCTTTGCCTCTTTTGCTTTCTGTATACATTGACCTTAAAGGAGAAGTAACATTGAGCCCAGGTTCTGGGGAGTTAGTCCTTGAGGGTAGAGCATAGGCTAGTGAGAAAGTAGGAGACTCAGATTGGAGGCAAGTTGGGCTGACACCTGTGGAGTGGGTGTATCGAGACAGGATCTGTCAACTGCACGTGCTTCTGAAGAAAGAGGAGGAGACCTCAGAGGGGATGGACATCTGAGGCACTTGCGGAGACCTGTAACTTGAGTGCCTTGGGGGATTTTTAAGGCTTGAGGTATTCTCATTACTTTTGGAGTAATAGTTAAAGTATTTAGTGGGGGCCTAAAGTGGCAAGAATTGTAAAGTTTACGAAACATGATTAAAGAGCAGTATTTCGACAAGAAGATTCTAGATTGAAAAAGTATTTGATCTTCGTGGTTACATTAGTCTCGTTAGTCTTTTTTTTTTTTTGGCTTTTTGAGACAGGGTTTCTCTGTAGCTTTGGAGCCTGTCCTGGAACTAGCTCTTGTAGACCAGTCTGGCCTCGAACTCACAGAGCTCCGCCTGTCTCTGCCTCCTGAGTGCTGGGATTAAAGGCGTGCGCTACCACTACCCGGCTTACATTAGTCTTCTTTATTAGATAAAGAAGAGGAGCTTCAGGTGGGAAAAACATCTTTCAGAACTTGTAAGATTGGTCCAGGAAGAGAAAGTCGGTGTGTGGTACCAAATAGCTTCTTTAGTGACTGTTTGAATTTTGCTTTTAGCTATTTCTGAAATGTAATGGAAGGAATACTTGACTGAAGAATACTTATTTAAGTACCTGTTTTTAAGCCTATAGTGTAATGGTTTCTTATTTTGCAAACTGGGTCTTGGACTCTCGATCTTCCTACTTCACCTCCCATGTGTCCCACCATGCCTTTTTTTAAAAAGTAAAAAGTTAACAAAATTTTAAACAAAAAGTTCATTGATTGAGGATCGAAATGAATTGTGGTCTGATGATTTCCCACCATGTCAGTAGTTAACAGGAATTTGAAGCTTGGATTGGTGCTCCTTGCGTTGTGCTACATTCTCTCCAGTGGTTGACTGTGTAACCTGTGGTCTGTATGAAATGAAGTGCTTCTCTCAGGAGTGACTGCAGGTCAGGAATGTCTGGGCTTCATGAAGTATCTGTGGAGATAAGCCTTTTGTTTAACGTGATAGCGTCAGTCTTTGTTTTCCTCTTTACATACCAATGTGTCCATCTACACATTAAGTTCCTTTAAAATTTCTTGCCCTTGTTTTCAGTGAATAAGAGACACCTATTTGGCATTATAGCCATAGCATTCAACTAAATATGAAGGACCACTTAAAAGAAACTGTAATTTACTTTGTATTTTGGGCAAATGCTTATTAGGAAGGATTGATTTTTCAATTGTAGGATTTTCTAATGGCTCGCAGCTTACCTAGTTCAAAGTAGCCTACCGCACCGGCATGACCAGAAAGGTAGGACTTCGGAATGTAAGGTTTCAATATGCTCTGTCCACTAAGCCTAGTCCTTCAGGTGGTAGAGATGTCTACTACTTCGTCTCTTCTAAGGCTGTGTCTTGGTGTCTATAAAAACTTGTGATTGCAACTGTAATCTCTTGATTGAGCACCTTCTTTAGGAGTCATTGTGCTAAGAGCTTTATACTAATTATGTCTTAGGAGTCACAACAATCCTGCTAGGCAGAGATAATAGCCCTGTTTTCTATGTGAGAATCCTGA